ATATATATATATATATATATATATATATATATATATATATATATATAAACAGTTTATCCCAAGGAACACGGTCGAATGTCTTCTCCAAATCCACAAAACACATGTAGACAGGATGGGCAAACTCCCATGATCCCTCGAGGACCTTAGTGAGGATAAAGAGCTGATCCAGTGTTCCACGATTCCAGGACGGAACCCACATTGTTCCTCCTGGATCTGAGATTTGACCAACGATCGGACTTGCTTCTCCAGTATCCCTGAATAGACCTTACCAGGGAGGATGAGGAGAGTGATGCCTCTTTTTGAAGAGGGGAACCACCATCCCAGTCTGCCAATCCAGTGGCACTGCCCCCGATGTCCACGTGACATTGCAAAGGTGTGTCAAACAAGACAGCCCCACAACATCCAGAGCCTTAAGGAAATCAGGGTGAATCTCATCCACTCCCAGAGCCCTGCCGCCTCTGAGCTTTTTAACTGCCTCGGCGACTTCAGCCACAGTTATGGACGGGTCAACCCCAAAGTCCCCCCACTCAGCTTCCTCCATGGAAGACGTGCAGGTGGGATTGAAAAGGTCCGAGAAGTATTCCTTCCACCTCCCGACGACATCACTGGTTGAGGTCAACAGCAGCCCACCTTCACTGAATACAGTGTTAGTAAAGTGCTGCGTTCCCCTCCTCAGCCGTCTGATGGTTTGCCAGACCAGAGTCGTTATCCAAGGTCTCATCAAACTCCTCCCACATCCGAGCATTTGCCTCAGAAACAGCTAAGGCTGCGGACCGCTGTCAAATTCAAATTATTCAAAATCTTACTTCTAACCTACAAAGCTAACAACCTAGTTCCATCTTATATTACCAATCTTATTAACAAAGTCCATGCTCAATAATTCAGGTATACAATCCAGCATTTTTCAGTCAGGTCATCTGGACAGTTTCTTTTTTTGTGCTGAAACGTTTCGCCTTCGATCCGGAAGGCTTCACGAGTCAAGGAAACACACAACACAAAACTGATTCTTCCCCCCAACTGCTTACTCCAAAGTGGAACAAACCAGTTTTACTTGTGATAAGATGGTCTCTTTGGTACGCCACTTTGGAGTAAGCAGTTGGGGGAAGAATCAGTTTTGTTGTGTGTTTCCTTGACTGATGAAGCCTTCTAGATCGAAGGCGAAACGTTTCAGCACAAAAAAACAAACTGTCCAGATGACCTGACTGAAAAATGTTGGATACCAATCTTATTGTTCCACATTTTCCCAAACAGGGCACTTCACTCTCAGACTGCAGGTTTACTTGTGGTTCCTTGAATTTCCAGAAGCAGAATGGGATCTTTCAGTTATCAGGCTCCTCTCTTGTGGAACCAATGTCCAGTTTCCAGGCTGACCTCTTGTCTACTTTTCAATTCTATTCAAAACAACTTTATTAATCCTAAAGGGAAATTAAATGTTGTAGCTCATCATCCTGGGTTCATTAAAGAGTTGTTATAGACGCGGATGGCTGTGGGCAGAAAGGATTCCCTGCGGTGGTCTATCCCACAGCGGATCTGAAGTAACTAGCCACTAGGTCTGGGTAATATCTCGATACTTTTAAAATATCAATATAATTTCATTTGCGATATAAATTGATATTATATCGATATAAACAATATAGTTATACTTGAAAATCTGCTTGCTCTGCAAAATCACAACTCTGCACATGTCTCTCAGTGGTGGTGATTAATTTTTCCTTTTGAACTTTATCAATATGTCTGGATGCACATCAGGCGATTGGCAGTCTGTTCTTAGAGCTTTTCTGGTTTTGTATTTCTATAAAAAGAATAATTGACCTCTCTAAGTGGCTTTAAAAATCTGTGGGACTCCTGGCAAGGACTAATGCAGACATGTTCCCGTTTTTAGTTTTCTACATTCGCCTTATAATCTAGCTGTTTTGTTACTCTTTTTGCCATCTTATTTGTAAAACAAAAAAATCTGTATGCCTTTTTATGACTGTCTATTGTTGTCGCTATTGTCCATTGTTTATCATTCTTTGTTGAAATCAGGTCTCGTAAATGAGTCCTCGAGGCTCAATGGGATTTACCTGTCTAAATAAAGGTTGAATGAATGAAAAAATAAATAAAGCTATGTTGGAAGTCACATGATCAAGTGACCCGAAAGTGAATCAAAGAGACAATAAATAAATAAATGAGTGTGGGGCGGGACCCCAGAAAGAAAAGTTGAGAAAGACCTTCGATGCTCTTGTTTCTGCACGGTGAAACGGTAATTAATGTTTAATTAATTTTATTGTACAACAATAGATTTGACTGTATCTTAAGACCCCCGTGCCAACAAATAAAAAGTAAAATTGTGTATACAATCCTCCAAGCTCCCACAATAATGAAGAGTAATTGCTAATTGTGGATTTTTTGATGTTCTGTGTGATGTTTAGGCTTTTTGATATTGTTAGTAAAATTTAACCACAACCAGCACAACTGCTTCTAACTTGTGTGGAACGTTCCTTGGTCTTCATGCTGCTTCTTTCTTGGTGGTAAAGCTTAAAGCTTGGAGCTGTTGGTTTCAGAACAGGTGAACTCTCATGGTTCGAACTGTGCTACAGAACCACAGCCAGCACACATGCTGTACATTATGCAACAATCACTGGCTGTTTCACACAATCTTATCCACCGTATTCCTGGGGGCTCTACTGTATCAACGATTATGGGTACAACTTCCTGTCAGACACAGGAAGTAGCAGGAAGCATTGGTTAACCATGGTAGCAGAGCACAGACGGCAGTTTATTTGAAAGTAATTTACATTCAGTTTATCAGATAAAACTCGGTTTTGGTTTTGTTTACATTTATTTAACAACCATAAAGTTTAGTAAAATAGCCGTGCTGAGTTCAGATACCTGTTGTGTTCATGGCTGCACAAACAACCAGATCAAACTAAATCAGTGGCTACAACAACAGAGTTTTGAACACGGACCCAAAACAAAAAGTATAAAATGTAAAGAAAAACAGTAATAAGATCTAAGACATGAACTAAGAAAAACGTTAACTAAAAATACACTAAGCACTAATAGTATAAAAACATTACGTCGAACAGTGGCACGAACATGAGTCTGTGTGAGCAGATGAGTACGAATGAACACAGCAACATGATGTGATTCTTCACAGTGATGTCCTGGCTAGAGATTCATGCGTCTAACAGCTTCAGGGTAGAAGCTGTTCCTCAGTCTAGTGGTTCTACACTTAATGCTCCTTAACCTCCTTCCTGAGGGGAGCAGGGCAAAAAGTGTGTGTGCTGGGTTCATGATGTAGGTGGCCCTCTTCCTGCATCTGGAGGTGTAAATGTCTGTGATGGTGGGGAGGCTGATTCCAAGAGACCACCCAAAACTCTGTCTGTGAGCTCATTTCACTTTGTTGACAAACGGCCGATGGAGGAAAACTTGCATCTTACTTTGTGGCTGGACTACAACAAACCACCGGAGAAGAGACGCCGGATCCTCAGAAGGATTGAAAACAGTGCTGAGAACATCAGGTATGATTTCAGGTGTATGGAGGTCACAGTATTATAGTATTTGTTCATCATCAATTTTTATTTTTTCTCTGCATTTAACTCAAGCTCAGTGATGGAGGACTTTTAGTCTTTGGCTGGACTCTGTGTCTGCTTTAAGGTCAATAAGGTTCTATCCCACCTCTTCTAACAAAACACCACCAACCTTATTATTGTGTAGATACCAACACGCCTCAGAGCTTTTCAGGTTGTTCATCACTTCACCGTCTGAAGAACCGAGTCAATGAAGTAGCTAAATATGCTAATAGATGTATCTAAATATACTAGTAGATGTATCTAGTAGATGTAGCTAAATATGCTAGTAGATGTAGCTAAATATGCTAGTAGATGTAGCTAAATATGCTAGTAGATGTATCTAAATATGCTAGTAGATGTAGCTAAATATGCTAGTAGATGTAGCTAAATATGCTAGTAGATGTAGCTAAATAAGCTAGTAGATGTATCTAAATATACTAGTAGATGTATCTAAATATGCTAGTAGATGTAGCTAAATATGCTAGTAGATGTAACTAAATATGCTAGTAGATGTAGCTAAATAAGCTAGTAGATGTATCTA